AAAATTACCTCTCTGACGGGGAGTCGAACCCCGGTCTCCCGCGGACTGTATGACAAGCGGAAATCATGACCGTTAGACCATCAAAGATGTATTGTTATAGAGTAGAATAGAATAGAAATGTAATCATGTCCCTACTGAGTCTATGACTATGAAGGACAGCTAAAACTATCTAAATAGCTTTAAAGTTAATAGTATATTTGTATATTGTTGTGCTCAATTTTTGCCAATAGATGATGAGGGTCGTGCCCTCGTAACGACAATCTGAATACCGCAATTAGATAGAACAATCCATACTGCCCAAATGTGATCCTTTTACCGACAATAAGAGTTGATCCTACCCGTGAATATACAGACTAGTGATCTGTCTTTATGCACAATACTTCTTACCCAACCACGTATTTCAGGGTATCACTAAGTTGTAATAACGCTTCAGCTTTCTGGCTAGTAGTGCCGTTTCGTTCAGCTTCATCTCCCCCCCCCATGTAGCTTTATCGTAAGAATTCTCAACAGTAGGCTTAGGTATCCTCCTAAGCTCAAACAACGGTCAAACCGTAACGATATCTCCCTTCTTTGTAAGATTCGAGGCCGACTTGATCCAATCTATCATCGCCGTATGAGGTGCTTCGCATACTCCAGAAATTCATCGGATGGCTTCTCTATGTCCAAGGGTAAGTGGTGTGTAGGGCTTCAACTCTTAAATCCAATCTGATCGTGGTGAGCTTCAAGATAATGGTGATAGGTGTTAAAGTTCTAGGGGGTATCTGAAATGATAGAAGTGAACGTTGACCGTCAAGTCAATACTGTATAAATCGTAGGATACTGGGGATTGAAGGATCAGAGATAAGAGGTTTGGATCATTGAGGTTTTTGGTTTTACTGAACTTATATTTAGTTAAAGGTGTTTTGTTTTAATCTACATCTAATTATCTATCTATGTTCTACCTGACTTAAGTAGAAACATTATGTTCTGATTACGTGATGGAATAACATTCACACCACCGAGATCATCACCAACCGAGACCTCACCAAAGCTGGCAGCGATCGAAGATGAGTAGTCTTCGTCTACTCCGCACTGCGTACAGTTTGGTCTGGTATGTCTAGACTTCAACAATAGGGGTTGTGCTGAGGGATGAAGACGATAGAGACTAGGAGAGCAATTGAAGGCCCTCATCTAATTGAGAACTAAGGTGTTTAGTTTTCGTTTCCCTAAATATTACCTTATCACAAGTACTTATGAATGAGGAATCTAAGTTCATACCGTCCCAAGTCTAGTCTTTTTGAGTCCTCTAACTTGATAGATATTCGATCGTGCTATGGATTTTTTCTACATCTTTTAATGTGTACTCAGCTATCTAGCTACGAGATATGATCGGTACTGCTGGAGGTTTGCGAAAGCTGCCCGTGCAAAAGCTGCAGCCAAAAAGGTAGAGGTAGCGATTATCGCTGAAATATGGACGTCTCCATGGAGGAGGGATCGGGCTTCGGGATTTTGGAGTCCGAAAAAGAAGTTTGAGAGCAAAGCGACCTCAATAACGCCCCTAATCGGCCTTCTACTAACCAATAGCAGGATACCAGCTGAATAAATAGTAGCTGCTACCTATCTCTCGCTCTCATCAGAGAATGGAAAATTTGTCACTTGGGAGATGTGACGGACGAAGAGATATATGAGGAGTCCATTGCTTGGGCTCAATGTTGAAAACCTTCCGGTTTTTTTCCGGTGTATTATTTTGATTTCTTGTTTCTCGTTTTGTTTTAATCTGCTGCAACTTTGGTAGCGATACACACGGTTGGAATGAGTGGGCCATGGAAAAGAACATAGGGTTCCCTGCCAGTTCCACTGGTCCTATACCCATAGTAGGACGTAGAGCTTTCACTTTAGCTCAGGACTTTAAAAACTCAACAACAACAATATGATCGGTACTATTTGTGCATTTTGGATTGCTATTTTAACGTTAGAGACACTCATACTCTGGATTTCATTCGCAAATACCACTGTGAGTTATGTTTGCTTACACAAACACTCGACCCTCCTCAGTGAGTACCCACCAAAGGGACGTTTCAAAACTTTCGATTACCCATGCACACCTTCGTCATGAATGCATTCCAGCGACGCGAGAAATGTGGTTGTGTATTGCCGGATTCGTACCAGCCATCTCCTGTCTCGAGTGGGATATGTGTTCAAGCTATCCAGACTCTACTTGGCAGCCCGGCCGAAACGATGTACCACCGCACCATCCAACCACGGCGGTATTTTTAGTATGGCCTGCACTCTCTCGATCGAAGTGGTTTGGCGTATTAAATTAATTTGCGAAATTCCTGTCCAAAAATCGAAATCTAAACTCTTCCAAGTCTGCACGTATCTTCATTATCATCATAACTATATTTCCTTATATTTTTTGTGTTCATCCCGAATATCTGCCTCCCAGATTTGTGTATCACGATTTGTTTACTCCGACAGGTGTAAATGTCATGGTGGGCTTATATTTGGAGGCCACTTAAGGCCAGAAACTGACTTGACGAAGGATGTGGTCGTAGAATATGGGATAAATTAGATCTTTCACGTAGACTGGATGACCCTCTGGTTGGAGTCGAACTCGTTGGGAGTGAAGTTTGATGTAGCGGAGAGTGTTGAATTCTTGCCCCGTCGGCAAACTTCTCCGGTTATGTGATATTTGACTGAACTCAGCTCTGGAAGAATTTTGCACTCCCAGCTTCGCAGAAGAAATTGCAGACAGGTGCTCAGCTTTTGTCCTCCTAACAGATCACCCTATTACAGTGCCTAACTGCTTAATCTCCTCAGTTACTCCGGATGAATAGTCAATGATGGCCTCATTGAAGGTGCTGCGGCTTAAATCATAACGTCTCGGACCTGAACCAGTTGATTGCATTACAAATTTGATAACTAATTCAGAAATCTAGGTAGGACCTTTCTTGCATGAAATCCTCGTGCTTTAAGTTTCCCTTACGAGCAACGGCATCAACTTCTTCTGCTCCCACAACGCTGTAAATTCTAGGCCGGGGATACCCTTCCAACAGGGTTTGGACACCTACGCTGTCATGGCAGCAATTTGTCATCCCGCAAACGAGTATCGCGTGAAATGTGCTTCGGATATACTTGGATCCAAGTCGCCATTTCCGTGCTTGAGCAAAATAGATGCACAGACCAGCCGGGCTCTGCAGGGCATTTCAAGGCGAATGGGTTGACGCTGCACCAGCCGTCCCAGCTCTTTGGGCAGGTGAGCCATGCCCTTGCAACTTTCTGTCATCCCCGACTCGCCCCGTACAATGCAATCCCGGGCTTCCCGTCGCGGTAAATCGATTTCATAATCATTTCCTAGGATGATGTCGCCAATGGCTGTTGCTTCTTTTCGGACAAAATTTTACGCTCACAGCTATCTAGCTCTAACATGTAGTCATTGCTGTGTGAACAAAATTGGATGAATCTAGAGACACTCATACAGCTAGTATATTGTGGTAAGTTTGGATCTGTGCATCAGTAATCTAGCTCTCTCTCGCTATCGAATTCAGGCTTTGATCATATGCACATGAATACCAGACTGGGGCATATAATCATATTTGGCGGTCTATAAATAGAGCGGCATGACCTCCTGGCGGTTTGGGTGGGTAGGGCCACGTGCACACGCAGGCGAAGTTATTTTAAGCCCAGGTGAACATATCGAACGGCCACTTGAGACTAATTCCGGTATTACGCATTAAAAGTTACTCTTCTTCAATGCAAGGGATTAATCGTCTGCACCCAATTTTTTTGGATACCTCAAAGATAGCTAAAGAGAAATACAACAAGCATGTTTTAAGCTTAGTGGCTTTCACAACATGAAACATGAAACACGGAACACTTATTACCTCCGCACCATTCTCCAGTACTGACAAGCTCAAATTTAAAAAGAAGATTAATACCAACCTTCGGCCTAGATGTATCATGCAATTTAGTCTCAATATCTTCCTCGCTGTACGCAGCATACTTTTTGAACCCTGCTACTTCGTCTCTATTCCTCAATTAAATCACTAGTGCATCCATTTTTAAATTCACCCATGCAAGGCAATGCATGATATGGACCACTCTTATTTCGGCTTAGTTTGCGTCACCCTAAACAGGAGATACTCCATATGTCACCACGTCTCGATAAAAACCAACTTTCGCCCAGCCCCGTGCTGCTCATGATAATTGTTCCTTTAGTTCGGCCAGAATTTTGACGCCGGAAGATCGGGCTCCTGGAGGGCCTAGAGGCGACTTTTAAACTGGGAGACGTCCCAAATTAATGAGGAATATGATCGACATGCGCATTGACCCTAGAGGCTTAAGATCTTATGTCAAATCAGAGAATAGACTGTCATTTAGAAATGATGCTAAAGTTACTATATCATTTTCCAGTCGACAGTTTAAAATAGCGAATCTATTTTTAATTGACTTTGCTTTAATGGACAAGGAAAGCCAATTTATACAATGAATTTTGAATATCTCGCGTCAGGTTAGTATATGTAGCTTCAAGACGCTGATGATAAGACAGCCTCGGTTCTGCTTGCACCTGTAAACTTTTTCATAATCTATTACCGAGATATTCAACTGTTAATATATCCTTGAGAGTTGTTTGTTGCTCGGGATATATTTTACTCCGAATGACGATAAAGGATGGATAAGTCGCTTGAGACCATCCCTATCGGTCTATCCAAGTGTTCCAAAGTGACCAAATGATAGGTAGCTTCCAAATGAAGATCGGCTTAATGCTGCCAAACACCTCACGATTCAAATTATTTATTGTGTCAATCTTATCGCCCAGTTCACTGACAATTTTGCAAATAAAGTTCTCTATCTTTGGGGACAGCCTATCGAGTCATATTTGGCCCGGATATTTATGCAACTTTTTTGATGTAAAAGAGCCAGTAAGAGCTTTATTTCCATGTTTATACCTGAAGCAAACATGCGCGCCTGAACCGTATAAAACGCCATGGGAAAGACTCCTCCACTAATCAAGCTTCTTTCTAGTATCCATAGTCACCATGGCCGATCATTCCGTGAGGCGCATAATCCCTTTGCGAGTGGTGTAATCCCATTGGGTGTTGAGATAACCTCATCTGTCCTCTTAAATCATTGAACCAGGGATGCTGTAACGCGTCATGGGCACTAATCCTTAATTCAGGTCGTAATTGAAGCATTCTCTGAAGTAAATCTAGCCCGTGAAGGCCGATTTGAGGTAGGAAGTTTCTCAAGTCTTGTGTTGCATAGATTTGGAAATTTTGTTTATACTCAGAATAAAGAGAAATACCAGGCCAAGTACGTTCGGATGGTGTGCCCATTATTCGGAAGATTCGTAGAAGTTGATCTTCATTGGTTGTACCTGGAAAGAGTGGTCGACCAGTATACATTTCAGCCATTATACACCCTGCAGACCAAATATCAATGCTGGTGTTATATGTACGGCTTCCTAGTAATACATCTGGTGCTCGGTACCACAAAGTAACAACTTCGTTGGAAAACGTGTTGACAGGAATCCCAAAGGCTCTAGCAAGACCAAAATCTGCCAGCTTTAGCTGACCTTTAGTATTGATTAAAAGGTTCTGAGGTTTTAGATCACGGTGTAGAACTCTGTTGGAATGACAAAAATCTATGCCTAGGAGCAGCTGGTGCATAAAAGATTTAATTGTAGCTGGTGGCAATGCGCCTCTGTCTCCTTGGGTGTCCATGTACTTCTTAAGATCTTTATCCATGTATTCAAAGACTAACATGAGTTTGTTCTCCGTATGAATAACATCGTGTAAGCTGACAATATTTTCGTGCTTCAATTCTTTCATCAAAGATATTTCGCGTATCGCTGTGGACGGTGTACCTTCTTCAGAGTCCAAATGTATTTCCTTAAGCGCTACAAGTTCGCCAGTTTGTCGGTTTCGACCTTTAAATACCTATTAAGGTTAGAATATTTACTATGATGCCCGAAAAGAATCACAGGAGTTAATTATCAAGTTATCTGAGTCTTATCTAAAGCCTACTTACCGTTGCATATGTACCCTCTCCAAGCTTCTCCAATTGTTGGAATGAACTCGGATGTCTTTTAACATCCATAATAGCTTTTTAGATTTCGATAGAGAGCCTTAGTTGAGGTGTATTACTTCGGAATGAATTAGAAGCCTTGACTATTATAAATATCAAGCAATGAAGAAAGTGAGGAAATAATTCGTCAAAGTTGAAAGCAGATCAATGATTTAGCAGTCGATGTAATTAATTTTTAGTAGAGAATATGGCTACTTGGGAACTTCAACTAGATGTATGGTGCATTTAAATTAGAGCAGGTTTCATCTGCCTAAATTCCAAAAAGAAAGCGACAAATTAAACTTGACATGATGAGCTTAGATGATTTTATCTTGTTGCTGCCTGAAAATATAGGTATCAATTGAAAGAGGGGCATTAGATAAAGATCGATCAAGCCAGGGCTATCTCTATGATGTAAATAAATGAGCCACCTCCTAATTAACGACTTAACTTTGAAATGAGAATCAATGCCTGAATACACTATGAGTCGAAGCTCCTCGTTTACATTTAGAATAATATACTACAAACGAACATCATGCGTCCACTTCTCGGTGACGATGCCCTTGTAGGGCGGTCGCGCAGTAATGATGATACAGTGCTAATACAACCCACACCAATGACTTATTTCTTGACCGATGAGAAAAGCATGAAACAACCATCATCTCCGCACCCAATATTAAACCCGAATTTAAGTATGGTTAAAAAAGACGGTGCTGGGCTTGAAAGTTATGAAACTACGAGTCTCCTTGCTGGCGATATAGACGATTCCTACGAGAGGCCACATGTGACGAGGCAGAGCAAGAAGAATTTCGGAGAGGATCTGACGGCAAATCTTGTGGAAGACCAAGCTGAAGGAATATCTCCTTATTCAAGCCCCTCAGCAAATGTTAGCAGAAATGCTTCACCATCCCGAACATTTCAGAATACCTTATCCAGACCGTATACTCCTCTATCTTTTCATTCACCCGCTCCAAATTCTTTAATGAGCAGTCCTGGCTCCCGTTTGAATTTTAATGCGGACAGTTTTCCAGATGACCCCTCAAATCAAGTCAAAATATCAAATTTGGTTCAAGAGCAAGGAATAACTCTACAATCAACAGACTGTAGTGGAGCACCTCAACTCGTTATGCCAAGTCTCAAAATGCCCAGCCGTAGACCATTTACAGAAAATGGTAAAAACATGGGCCGGCTAAAGATCCTAGTGGCGGGGGACTCTAGTGAGTGATGTTTTATCTTCTTTATTTAACAACTAATCGTGCAGATGTTGGCAAGACCTCTCTCTTGAAAGCAATTGTACAAACCTGCGAAGATATTGTTCATGTAGACTCTATATGTGTACCCACTTCATCCAAGCGAGATAGGCATCGAAATATTTCGAATCGCAAAAAATCAAGAAGTGGTAACTCGAATTCTGAAGCAACTTCGCATATAACCGAAATATACGCAAGTACTAAGCCATATCCAGCGTGGTGGTCAGATTTAGATGAATGCAGGATACTAAAGCGGCGAAACTCGGGAGAGATTGTGTTGGAGAGAAATTTGTGTTTTGTCGACACCCCAGGTTACGGTAACCAAAATTCGGTTTGTGCTCCAAGCTTATCGCCAAAATCTACTAATTGTTCTAGCAATTAGAATGTGCTTCTTCCGTTATAGACTACATCGAAGCTCAGTTCAGGAAAATTTCCACTTTCAATGGTCTTAGCGAATCTGAAATGATAAACATGCTCAGCGGGAATGGAGGAGCCCAAGTAGACGTGGTTTTATATCTAATATCTAATAGCAAGTAAAAACAGAATATAAAATTTCTGTACTGACTATGTTCAGGAGTGAAGGCAATAGACATTGAGTATCTGCGCAGGCTATCCCGGCTAACAAGCATAATCCCACTTATAGCTCACGCGGACGTATATTCCGAGGAAGAAATCTCAATAATAAAGCAAAATATACATAGTGAGCTAAGATCAGCTGATATTAAACCATTTATCTTTAGAATTCAATCAGAGCAAGCTCGAGATTCAACCCAAACGTTTAGTCCATTCGCCGTATCTAGCTCTGTTTCAAAAGATCTTCAAACTATGGACGCTAGCCTTTTAATGTCCCCTGATTATGTACAGCCATTGGTAGACTCTGAGCTCAAAGATTTGGTTGCTCAGCTATTTGAGCATGACACTATTTCCTGGCTACGACATTTGGCGGCAAAAAAATATGTTCACTGGCGAATTTCATCTTTACTAGACTCTACTTCCCAGTCTCTCTCCCAAATTCATCCAATTCCATTGATGTCTCAAGTTCTTACTGCGCCAGTGGGAGCTACTACAGCTTTTGCACTGGCCCGAATCACCGATCATACCCAACGAGAAGAACGTATCGCTCAGGTACGACTGGCAAACTGGGCTGCACAACTTCAGCGCAGTCTTCAAGATGAGCGCATTCATTTTGAAGACTTGGCAAGAAACGATCGGGCTGTTTGGCTAACCAAACGTCTCAGCGAATGTGTTCAAGACGGTACTATTATTCCAGTTTCACGAGTCCGCAAAGAAAAGTTTACATTGAATCCAGATTTAAGTGCTGTGGTAAAACCAGGCTCATTTCCCGCGAGGCAAGTCGAGGAAAATTTTGATAAGAATGATCCTTTAGGCCTCATACTTCTGAGTCATAGAATTAAGCAGAGAGGATGGGCTATATTAAAAATTGCTGGAAGTTTAGGAATTATTAGTGGGCTAGCAATTTGGGTAACACGTAAATGGCGCGAAAATTGGCAAATCGGTGGATTGGAAATGAGGGACTGGGTCGGTCTCGTAAACTTGTGATGATTTCATGATTCTTATAGCTCTTGATGGCCTTCTGACGCCACCGGTAGGTCTTCTTTCATCAAATAATTGTTAGCACGTCCCTTACGGTATATACATCAACAGAGAAAACAACAATGTTTTAGTTACTATTACGTTTCTTAGAAGAAATCCAATTAGCAACGGTGTTAAGAAAGTCGATTACATTTGATACCTTGTAGTGCTAAATTTATAAAGCATTTCGGAAACATGATATTAGAAAATTTGAGGGATGGTATTTGTTGATTTCACTTAGCCCGTTCAGGTGCCCTGGGGGTCCAAGCAGGCGAGCATCTTAATTAAAGCAATAGGAGGAAACCAATTCGGTAATACTCCCCAAAAATATATGTCTCACGTCCATTATGTTTCTGGTGGTTTCCGTTAGTAAGTGCGTTTATACTGTTCATCTAGTGTGAATTTCGTTCCATCCTTGTCCACATCGTTTCATCTTTTCGTTCATTACTATCACTACTTCTCCTGCGAGCCGGAACTGTTTATGCCAGCCTTTAGCCCGGATCCACTTCACAGTTCTCTCCTTAAACCATGCTGCTCAACATTGCCGCAAAGGACCTTTCTTATGCATGTCGAAGCACCTCTCTTCTCATTGCCTACTGACGATATGCTAAGACCATATTCTTGACATTTGGAGACGGATTTCCTCCCCGGCATTATGGATTAACCATTACGGGGACTTTCTTTTGATATAGACATGAGATGAGAACGATGTGCTAACTTTTATCTGAACTTCAATACTGCTTTGGGCTTTGCTAAGGTTCTGGTGGATATTAGAGGGTGTGTTACTGTAGGTAATCCTTTTTCTGCCTGTTGTCTCATTGGTGACGATGTTTGCGGCTTGAGGAATGGTATTATTTCCCTGCACTACCTATTTGAACGTATCTGGCCCGTATGGGTAGCGATTACAGTATTTAGAGACAACTCGTTGCCACATTACACACTGACATAAGGGACAATAATATAAACCGCTTTTCTACATATTACTTATTCTTAAGAAAGATACGAGGGACACGGTGTTACGTTGTAAATGTTAACCAAAGAGCTCTGCTGCTGAAGATGAAGTCTATGTACTGATAGCCAGGTCATGTGACCTGACTAGCTTAGTTTACATGAGTAGGTGAAATAGTTCGCCTTGGCACTTATCGGGACAAGAATTAAACACTAATCAGCGGAGTCCTCAATGAAACTGTAGTGATTTATCCTCTCAGAACCGAGATTTTATCCCGAAAAAGCAGTGAATTTTATATTCTTAGTGATATTGCGAAAAATAAGAATGGTATTTGCAAGTTATGGTCAAGTACCTTGCATGCAAAGATATTACGGTAACATAGACCATCGTGTTCAGTCTGTTAAAATTTGAATTTGAATTTGAAAAATTTAACGTGACAGGATGAACGTGACAGGATGAACCTGAAATCTATTTAGACGTGACACGGATAGATATTCCTCTGAGAGCTCATTGCTACCTACATGAACGGCAATAAAGCCAGAAGCCCAATATAAATGATAAAAAGGTACAGTAAATGTCTGAGTTACGGTGTCCTGCGCCGCGTCTCTATCCTCCATACTAATCTCCTCTTGAGCTAGAAACAATGTAAGCATCGTCATCTCCCACCCAGTTCATTTTTCGGCAGACTGTAACATCTGCTTGTGGTTAAGAATTGGATGAACTTCTGCCGTCCCTTCTCCCCTATCATTTCCCTGGCCCCAGGTGGGGCCATTTTCTCATAGCTTCTCCCACGTAGCAAAGCAGGTCGGCATTCTGAAAAATGCCAGGGCCTTTTCTCTCGGCCGCAAACGCATTTCAGATCATCATGTTCGGGGATGAAACGTCGATGGTAGTCGGCGTAGTCTCCGTGGCCAGTCCTTGCCGCAATTAGACGGTGGTACGCCAATCTTGGCAAGGCTAGTTCCAGAAGTAGCTTGCAGTGCAATAGAAGGTCCGGATCTTTGTTTCGTTTTTTTTGCATCAGATTTGAATTGCGTATGCAGCTATCTAATTATGACACAATATCATAGAAAAGTACAGAATGAATGATTCAACGTAAAGTAAGAGCACTCATGTCTCAGATTTCATTTGCAGGTCCCACTGCGAAGTTATCGTGGCTTTTTCTTCACCACAAGTCAACCCTCATCCGTGAATACTCACCCAGGGGAACGTCTCAAAAACCCTGGGTTATCCAGACATGCCTCCATCATCCGTTCACATCAGAGTGCAGCTCACACTATAAAAACAAGCAAAAGATGGAAGGTGTTGTAGTCCGCCTCCTGGTGGTGTTCTCCGGTAAAGTTTGAGTAGCCTGGGCACCTACTCCACTTGGGAAGGAGACACCTCAGACCATATTTCGCGCGGAGAAAATTTGAAAGATGATGGAGGCATATCTGGATAACCCAGGGGTTTTCAGACGTTCCCCTGGGTGAGTATTCACGGATGAGGGTTGACTTGTGGTGAAGAAAAAGCCACAATAACTTCGCAGTGGGACCTGCAAATGAAATCTGAGACATGAGTGCTCTTACTTTACGTTGAATCATTCATTCTGTACTTTTCTTTGATATTGTGTCATAGTTAGATAGCTGCATACGCAATTCAAATCTGATCCATGAAGAAAATACATCCGTTCACATCTCTCCGCGTGAAATGTGTTCTTAGATGTCTCCTTCCCAAGTGGAGTACAGTCTTTTAAATGTATTAAAAGTACAATTATCAAAATGACTGTGGTTGGATCCCTGTACAATTTGATTAGATTGGTTTAGCCTCATGCAGGCCTATGTCTAATTCGACGACTAGTTATGCAAGCAGGGGTACTATCCAACGATATTTCGTGAAAGTCAAAATTTATGGAGACGGTTTTCAACACCGAAACAAAAGTACAATGGTCCTCATTTAAAATTAAAAATTAAAAATAATCAATTGATATTATCTAAAAATATACCTCTATTTAAAAAATTATTGCTCTGTATTACAAAAGTCTACATCGGAGCCCTCAGTATGGCTCGCAACTAAAATGAAAGCGTGCTACATTTTATGTATTAGCTTGCTCCATCCCAATACTTTGTGAACCCTACATTTTCCTTAATCACTGCTATATATCTTTCGTGCATGTTAACCACACTTAACGGAAGCTTCTTCCGAGCAATACATCTGCTGTAACCTATTTTGTTGAGGGCATTTGGAATTTAACGCTCATTGCATCCCCAGTGTGATGGGCGATCAACAAAACAATGAAGTAAAGGAATGGTGGCCGATTACTGTCTATTTTCTACATACATCTCGGAACTGTCCACCGAGGGGAGGCTACTCAAGGTGTCCCAACTCCCGATAAGCTAACCTCACTATCTGTTCTACTACACCATATCCTTGATATTCCGAGTGAGCTCGTCATAGCGAATCTGGGTCGTATCGGCCCATGATTCCATATGAGACTTGCTGCAACAATATCTTGTTTCCATATTTGTTGCAACCCTGTATTTGTGTAGCCGAGTTGGACATCTCTTTAGATAGCAAGGCTAATGACGTAATAATGATAAGTGTCCGTGCAACAGTCACTAGGAGATAAGCGCAGCCTGTAACACCCAGTTGCTCAAATTTCTCATTGCTAGTTCATAATAGCACATCTGTCGATTTTCAGGAGATTGCCGGAAGAAAGCCTCAAGCTCATTAACTTGTTCCGCACTTAATTTAGATGAGCATCTTTTGCGAGGCTTAGGATTCTCTATCTCTCCAGCACACGCAAATAGCACCTGCTTTATTGTGAAGCCTAGATCGTCGGAAATATTTTGTAATGTCAAGCCAAGTCTTTTTAATGTTCTTATTCCAATACATTGATCGCGAGTTAGATGCCTGCAAACTTTTGTTTCTGAAACAGACTTTTCGAGAGACATTGTTTGCTAGAAAAGAGGATGAATTGATAGTGGTGTTAAGTTTCAAGGACTGTGTAGGTTAGGCAGCCAAAAATGTCGTTGAAAATGTGTTTTTCTAACTGAATGTCAGAAGAAGACGATTGGACCATGCTTCATGGCAAGCGGGGTAAGGAGAAGAGACATACTAACCTATTACGAGCTAGCCAAACTGCGCCTATAGGGCTGATCCCTTAAACATCCCAGTTTCGAGGTTGACATTTAATATCCCAGAGGCGCTGTAACGTGGTGCCACGGTGTCAAGTTTGCATTGGGACTTTGGCAGGGGTTTTAGCGTGTAAACTAAGACGCCTTAGGCATAGGCACCTTCCATATTGGAGTTAGCCCCCGTATTTGTGCAAATATTTCAAAAATTATTTATGGCGGTTTTTATCTGGACACCATAGTTTGCAGTGGGTCTTTCCTTCGTACTAAACCTAATTTGTATGATGATCGGCTGCATAGCAATTGTGCATTTTTGCTACTGGACTTTGTAACTTATTTACAAGAGTTCAAAGGTTTTCAAATTACAAAATAGAGCCAATCTTATCCTAACCTTAGATCTGAACATGTGGCTGGAAAATTTCCAGGCCTTAATATCTGGTTGGTCCCACATCCGCATCTACCACAGCCTGACATCTTGCTGGCATACTCTGAATGAGTCTCACAAGGTCTTCGGAAGACACGGAATCCCATGCCTCTTTTACAATGTTGCGAAGACTATCTTGAGTTCGCTGCTTTCCGCGACCCAGATTCGGATGATGACGCTGGATGTAATTCTTCATCTTATTCCAAACAGCTTCAATCTGGTTAAGATCAGGCGAGTTGGCCGGCCAGAAAATCGGTTGAATGAGCCTCTGGCTCATATCTTCCATTGTAATTGCGGCTATGTGGGCAGTAGCATTATCCTGCATTACGGAAATCCAAGGTCTCATCGAGACCATGCCATCGATAAGAGGGACTGTCTTCTCGCAATATTTTTGGGAGTTGATGGAACCCCATTCCTTCTCCCAAAACAAACAAGGGCCTTTTTCTGGCCCTGCGAAGCAACCCCAGAACATCCATTCGACCCTGTTCTTCGATTTTTCTCCAACACAATCAGCGTTGCATTCTTGGAAAGTCTAGCTCATAATGTTAGAGCATCAAATTACCATCTTCTTATTGAGGAATGTACGAACACTTCTTGTCACCCATTCTCTAGAATGTCTTCCATCCTCTACCCAAGTTTCGTCTGCCCATAAAACTGACGTCCAGTCTTCA